CCGAGTTCATGGAGAACGGCGCCCTCGACGCCTTCCTGCGGGTACGGGGACATCAGGGGACGTGGGGGGACACAGGGACGTGGGGGGACACAGGGACGTGGGGGGATATATGGGCGCCACAGGGAACGTGGAATCTGGGGGACATGGAGGACATGGGATATAGGGGGACGGCGGGGAATATAGGGGACATGAGGGGATGTGGGATATGGGGACACAGGGGACACGTGGGATATGGGGACATAGGGGACATCAGGAACATGGGGACACGGGGATGTGTGGGACATGAGGACACATGGGACGTGGGGGATGGGTATGGGGACACGAGGGACGTGGGGGGACACCTGGGACATGGGGGACACAGAGGACGTGGGATATGGGGAGCCATGAGGGGACATCTGGGACATGGGGGACGCAGGGTGACACTGCGGACACAGGGGACACCGGTGACACTGGGGACAGTCACCCTTCCCCCGCACAAGGTGACCGTGTCCCCCCCCCCCTCCCCGCGGTGTCCCTCCAGGGCCGGGTGGGGACGCTGGGGACGCTGCAGCTGGTGGCCATGCTGCGGGGCATCGCGGCCGGCATGCGGTACCTGGCCGAGACCGGCTTCGTCCACCGCGACCTGGCCGCCCGCAACATCCTGGTGGACGCCCAGCTGGTCTGCAAGGTCTCCGACTTCGGGCTCTCCCGCGCCCTGGAGGAGGAGAGCTCGGCCGACCCCACCTACACCAGCTCCCTGGTGAGGCCACCCCCGCGGGGCTGCCCGGGCGCCCGGGTCCTCGGTGGGGACGGGGTCCCACCAGGGGTGGGGTCTCTCGGGGTCCCTGGGGGGTCCCTGGAGGTCCCCGGGGTGGGAGGGGCCGGGGGGGGTCTTGGGGGGCTGCACTCACCCAGTGTGTCCCCACCCCCAGGCGCCGCAGCCACCGGCACAGGGAGGACGCGGATCGGCACGGCCACCGTCCCGCGGGGCACGGTGAGCGCCCCGTCACCCCAGTGTCACCCAGCGTCACCCCAGTGTCCCCTTGGGTCACCCCAGTGTCCTCATGGTGACCATCTTGGTGTCCCCACATCCCCCGGGTGACAGCGACGGTGATGACGGCACTGTCCCCACGTCCCTGGGGATGGCCTCGGTGTCCCCACGTCCCCTGGGTGACCATCTCGGTGTCCCCACGTCCCCTGGGTGACAGTGACGGTGATGACGGCACTGTCCCCATGTCCCCACGTCCCTGGGGACGGCCTCAGTGTCCCCACATCCCCCTGGTGCTGGCGGTGGCATCCCCGTGTCACCGTCCCCTGTAACCATGGTGAGGGTGGGGCTGGCGTCCCCCGGGGTGGGGGTGACAGCGGGTGACAGTGGGGTGACAGCCAGTGCTGGTGGCAGGGGGAAAGCTGTACATCGACCCCCTCACCTACGAGGACCCCGGGGTGGCCCTGAGGGACTTCGCCCAGGAGATCGACGTCGCCTGCGTCAAGATCGAGGAGGTCATCGGGGCAGGTGACATCCCCCGGCCCCGACGATGTCCCCAACAACGTCCCTACGGGTGTCCCCAGTGTCCGTGTCCCTACGCACGTTCTCAGAGATGTCCCCAACGCTGTCCTCGATGATGTCCCCATCCCTGTCCTCATCGCTGTCCCCGTTGATATCCCCATACGTGTCCCCACCCATCTAAGTCCCCAGCGATGTCCCCCATGATGTCCCCAGCGATGTCCCCATCCCTGTGCCCCCCGATGTCCCCATCAACATCCCCCCCCTCTGTCCCCAGGGGAGTTCGGGGAGGTGTGGGGGGGCTCTGGGGTGACGTGTCCTCCCCTCTGTCCCCAGGGGAGGTGTGGGGGGGCTCTGGGGTGACGTGTCCCCCCCTCTGTCCCCAGGGGAGTTTGGGGAGGTGTGCCGGGGCCGGCTGGGGGGGGGGGGGGGGGCGGCGGCGCGCGCGGCGGGGGGGGG